AGGGTGGAACATCTCCTGCTCCCCCCCCACACAACGCTGTGGGGCTGGAAAATGGGCTGGGCTATGGAATGACCACAGAAAAATCACTGATTCTCTCCAAACGTGCCCAAGACCCTTCTGTCCCCACGCAGGAGCAAGACCCCACTGCTCAGGCGAGTGGCTCCAGCCAACTCCAAGCACCCGGTGCCACCAGTGTTGGCAAAACCCACCCCAATATTGCTCAATAACCTCCAGGCTGGCTCAAGCCAAGGAAAATGCAATTCCCGGGTGGAAGGAGCCCGTTGGAGCCACCACCTGTGGCTGCCACAGCCAAAGGACCTCGGGGCCAGAGGATGTCACGAGGGCAGGGGGTCTGCAATCCCCACGCTTGCCTGGGGGGAAAGATCTGCTCGATGGGTCTGTTCCACTAAAATGTGACTTTCTCTTTTTTTTTTTTTTGGCTTTCATCAGCGGTAGGGAATGAAACAACCCCACTTCATTTCTCTTTACGGGGGTGCCAGGGTCCTGCCTCATAATTCACCACATTCCCAGCTCTGGTCCTTCCTTCCCTCCTGTCCTTCCAAGGCAGTTGTCCCTCCTGGCTGTGCTTGGCATGCATAGGGACGGGGTGGGGGGGTTCTCTGATAAAGTGCAAGTGCTGTTGGTCCTTATAAATAAGGGAAGATTGTGCATCTACTTTTGTTCCCTGGCTCACTCACCCCTCGGTGACCGGGACGTGTCCTCCTGCAGACTATGTGGAAAGCTCATGCAAGTCCTGCCCTCAGAAACCTGCTCCCCTCCTCTGAGGTCAAAGTTATTCTGATTTGCCTTTTTTCTCTCTCTCCCTGACACATAAACACACACACACACACCTCCCCCTGCTTGCCCCCAGCTCCACAGGGGATTTTCTGGGGACTGGGTGCTGGGCTTGGGGCAGGGCACCTCTTCATCACCATCATCACCACCATCACCATCATCGTTACCATCATTGGTGACACCCTGCCAGTCCCCAGCTCCCACCTGATGACTCCCCGTTGGGGCAGGGCACCTCTCCATCACCGTCATCACCACCATCACCATCATCGTTACCATCACTGGTGCCACCCTGCCAGCCCCCAGCCCCCACCTGATGACTCCTCGTTGGGGCAGGGCACCTCTCCATCACCATCATCACCACCATCATCACCTCTCCATCACCACCATCATCGTTACCATCACCAGTGCCACTCTGCCAGCCCCCAGCCCCCACCTGATGACTCCCCGTTGGGGCAGGGCACCTCTCCATCACCGTCATCACCTCCATCACCATCATCACCACCATCACCATCATCGTTACCATCATTGGTGACATCCTGCCAGCCCCCAGCCCCCACCTGATGACTCCCCGTTGGGCATCAGGCTCCAGACACGCAGAAATACAGAACGATGCTCGGGAAGGAGGGAGCTGAGAGCTGAGATGTGTTCTGTGATGTTGGTTTGCAACGGAGATGACATTGGAAGAGCCACCAAGAGCTGTTGGGTGCTGCCCCCCCCGAAATACACCAGGAGATCAGCGGGTGAAGCACAACAGAGGCGGCTCCCGAAGGGAACTGATGCCAGTGAAGGCAAACAAAGAAGGAGGATTCAAATACTGGGCCGGGGGGGGGTGTTATTTGTGGGGGCTGCACCATTGACATCAGTAAAACACAAAAACCCAGCGTTGGGGGTGTGATGGACAACCCTGGAGGAGCTGCTCAGAATCCATGTTCCCTGGGTGGGTTTTGGTGGTTTTGGCAGAGCTGGGGAGGGGGGGAAACAGGACCTGGGGTCCTGCCCTGAGCGGGGGCATCGCTAATCCAGACAAGAAAACACACTGTAGTGCTAACTGCACCCCAGTGCAGCCCCCCCCCCACCACAGGAACCTGCCAAGACCCTCCAGGAGCACCATTGTGGCCCCCCCTGGACCCCTCATAGCACCACTGTGTCCTCCTGGACCCTCCATGGCACTGCTGTGTCTCCCTGGACCCTCCATGGCACTGCTGTGTCCCCCACCTTGGGGCAGAGCCAGGGACACCCCCAGGCCACA